GGCAGAAGAGCCACCACAAGGCAAGACAGTGACTCGCAGGCTTCTAAGAGAAGAGGCCAATTTCTCCTGGGTCCATTCACGCCAAAGAGTGGACAAAGAACATTGGGAAGGGGCCAGGCGCCGTGGCTCACGCCTGTAATACTAGCTCTCTGGGAGGCCGAGGCGGGCGGATTGTTTAAGCTCAGGAGTTCAAAACCAACCTGAGCAAGAGCGAGACCCCGTCTCTACTAAAAATAGAAAGAAATTAATCGGACAACTAAAAATATATAGAAAAAATTAGCCGGGCATGGTGGCGCATGCCTGTAGTCCCAGCTACTTGGAAGGTTGAGGCAGAAGGATTGCTTGAGCCCAGGAGTTTGAGGTTGCTGTGAGCTAGGATGACGCCATGGCACTCTAGCCCGGGCAACACAGTGAGACTCTGTCTCAAAAAAAAAAAAAAAAGAACATTGGGAAGGAACAGCAAGTGGTGCAGGCCCGCCCTACAAATGGCTCTCCAGCGATACCTTACTAAGTGCCATCAATTCCTGGCAAATGGGGGTGTCCCAGAATGTGGGTTTCTTTCCCACCATCAATTGACAAATGTTGCTATACTTCTTGGAATATTTAAATTAGAATTCCTTGTATTTCAGAAATAACTTTTAGAAAACACAACCCTTTGATAATGCCCTCTATTTCCACAGTATTGAAGATGCAGGTCCACAAACAGGTCAAATGCTCCTCGGTAACTCTCCCCCATTGTGGCTTGTCTGAACCAGAAATTTACATTTTGTTAGAGGACCAGCCAAGCCCAAAAAGTCCTCACGTTGTTTCTGAGTCACTATAATCACTTCCTTATCATTCCCTCTGCTCTTAAAGTCTTCAGACTCCTGAGCAGGTGACCCTAGCCGGTCCTGGCAGACTCTTGTGAATACTAGTGTCACTGGGCCACCACTCACTATGGGTTCACCAACCCCCAAGGTGGATGGTGAAGGACCTTGGAACTTGCAAGGGAGTCTCAGCAGATGTCTTCACTTCCCTCCTCAATCTCGTCACTTTTAGGTGTCACTTCTCCCACTTACTTAGACGTTTGTTTGTGTGTGGCTGCATTTATGTGAATATTCATGACTCCCTGCTGTGCATCGAACACCTCAGAGCCAGAACAGGGGACAGGAAAGGCTGAAAGCAAATGTCCCTGGAAACACAGCACAAGGGGAAGCCACGTTTGCCAGGATGTCTCTGGTCAGAGCACAGAGGGTGGGATTTGTGTCTGTCCTTCAGCCTTCCTCACACAGGCCTATTGTGCACCCCCAGGAGTAAGTGCCTTGTAGCAAGAAGAGTGTCATACATGTCTTTTCACAAGGGCTCCAAATGGAGACTCCAAGGCTCAGCTGGGCTCTATGGCTGACTATGTACCCCAGAGAGCCCACTCCACACGCTCTCGTGACCATGTGACCCTCCTCATGCTGAGAGCTGGGGTCTCTGCTCCCTCCCTCACGCATGGGTGGGGGTTGTGACTGCTCCAACCAATGGGACAAAGTGGATGTGATGCTACATGACTTCCCAGGATGGGGTGCAGAAAGGAGGCAACTCCCACCTGGTTCTCTCTCTCCATGACACTCACTCTGAGAAGGCAACCACCATGCTGGGAGGAAACCCAAAGGGCCACGTGTGAACGCGCCCCCAGAGGCCCAGCCCTCCAGCCTCCCAGCGGAGGCTCCGGACTCTGTGAAGCTGAGACGAGCCACATGCACTGCCTTTTGCATACTCTTGACCCACAGGACACACATGCATGATAGATGGTAGCTTAGTCACACTAGGCAACCATAGGAATGGCAGCAGGTCCACGAATGTGGCTACAGGATGAGCCACTCCAAAGCTCCAAACTCTCTAAAACACACTTTTGTCAACAGCCCCCCACTTCCTTCTTTGTAGAACTGAGACTTGGTGTGGATGGATTCTGGGGCCTGCCCTGGTCTCTTTCCAAAAGCAACTAATGCCCACCAGTGTGGTGGCCAGTGCTTTGAAAATCACAGCACCTTTATTGCCAGCCTTCTCCGTGGCTGGTGCAGGCTTGCGGCTTTCTGCCTGTGATCTGTATTCATCACAACAACCCTTATGATAGGTATTTTTAGATAACCAGTGAGAGAGGATAAAGTTAGGGAATTTGTCCAAGACAAATTTTCCAGCAGGTGCAGAGCCCAAGCCTAGAGAAACAAGCGACTTGTCCCAAACCGCTCAGCTGCTAAGACGCAGAGATGAAGATGCAAACTATGTGACACTGACCCCTTGACAGCCACTGTCCATCGTCCAGCTGGTTTCTCCACAAAGCATGAAATGCCTTGGCCCAGAGAGACTGAAGCCCACACCATGGACAGGTCTGAGGATACCGAGGTGAAACTTCTCTCCGCTTTCCCAAGTTGTAACTCTGAAGAGGTGTCAGGGCCCTACGGCTGAGCATGGAAACGCCCACAGATCCCTGACAGGTGCCCACGTCTTTCCCTTCATCACAACAGAGTCCACCCTCAGCTCCTGTAGGGCCGCGCCCACCTTCCTGCTCAGCCTCATAACCACTGTCTTCTAACCATGTTTCTTCAGCAAGGCCGGGCTGCTCTGGGGAAAGAGGAACCAAAGGGAAAAATGAATTGCAATCCAGGCAGACTGCTTCCTTCCAGAACTCACCCACAGCCCCCATCCCCATGGGGAATCATATCTAAGTCACCATCCAGGCCAGGGTAAGAAGACATCTTTCCTTTCCAAAGGAAGATCGTGTTCAGCGCTGAGAGGAGTCTCTACCAACAAAGTGTGGTGTTGGCAACAGTCCCTGTGGCCTCTGGCAGGGAGCTGGAATCTTCCCTACAAACACAGACCCAGGCCAGGACAAGCACAGGGGACAAGGGCCCCAGCTAGCATCAGGTCTTCCCCACTCTGCCGTTTTACCTGATTCGACAAGGTTGATGGTTGGGCAAAAGGCCCTCAGCCTGACAGAGTATTAAAAAGAAAGCTTTATTGTCAATCCACATGCAGACTCCAAGTTTCTGCACAAGTTCTAGCTCTCCACAGAGCCACAGGAAAGTAACCTTCGCCATGGTGGGAAAGAGCACACTTGTTCCCTGAACTAGAGGAAGATCTTTGCTTTCTTAGGGAAGAGGCATCTTTAGCTCACACATAAACAGGCTGCTGCCTTCCCCGACGTGCAGGACTCATACATGACTGAGAGGAAAACTCAACCAAAAGAAAGGGAAGGAAAAGTTAAAGTCTCTCTCTGCTCCCTCAACACACACACACACACCCATACCTCATTTTGGAGCAATCCACAATTAGAATATTCTGGAAAATGAGGCTCTTGTGAGCTCCTGAGAGAGCATATACCCCCCCCAAACACACACATACACCACACACAACATACAACACACCCAGTCGGCTTGAGGGTCTAGGGTTCAGGGTGCGTGCGATGCTTCCTAGGCGCCACGGCTGTGTGCCTTACCAGCTGCAGCCGCCTCGCTGGGCTTGCAAGGGCAGAGCCTGCTTCTGCAGGGCACCACGCTTCTGTTGTGGGCACACAGGACTTGGAAACATACAAGCGATAGATGGCACCTAAAACATGGTACCTTGGCATTTGAGAAAAACGGCAGAAGCAGGAAGATCACTGTCACCTTCCCCTCACCCTCCTCCCCTGACACAGGCCACAAAACCCTCATTCAAGAGGTGCCCTCCTTATACCCAGTGGAAAGGAACATCCCCATCTCTAAAGACACAGGGTCACAGAGAAGATCTGAGCAAATAGACCTTGTTTGTTAAGTGCCCCTCCCCAGTTTATTACCATTACCTCACACCCGCTTTGTCCAATCATACTTCTCCACGACCGTCCACTTCTCCTTCAAACTAGCATAAAAAATACACAGCTTTCCCTGTCTCTTTGGGTCTTCATATGAAGGTTCAAGTATTGTGTAAAACTTACATGATATAAATTTGCATGCTTTTCTCTTGTTCATCTGTCTTTTGTATGAGGCCTCAGCCACGAACCTAGGGATGGGCTAGGAAAAGACATTTCTTTTCCCCTGCACAATCGTGAGCTCCTCTTGAGCAGCTTTCCTCCCCAGGTCTCCAGGAACATCCCGCATGAACAACTTTCTTCCTACGTGCTCATTCCAAGGGGCTCAAATCCATGCCTGCCCTCTTTCTGCTCCTTGCAGCTTTCTGGGTCTCAGGGATTGCCTATGATTGCACAATTCACACTCAAACTGAAACCACACACACACCTGTCACAAGCATTTTTAGGAGGCCAACTTGTTTTGAAATCAGGTAACTCTGGATTGTTTGTCGAAAGCTGACCCAGATGTCCCCGAGCCCCAAGCCTATGTCCAGAGGGTGGCATGTTGGGGATGCCATGAGCACAGTTTGCATAAGAACGAGGGACCCTGCTTACCACCCCTCCATGGCACTGGATCCTACTGTAATTAATTTAACATCTCAGTGCATTGTGACGCGCGCAAAGTGGAAAAGGCAGATGCTAGCACAAGAAACAAACATTTTTCATAAACATGATGTCATTGAGTCAAAGGCAGAAATCATGAAGGCAAAAATGGGCCTTTTCATCATTGTCAGATGTACCAGGTCAGGAGAGACAAGCCCCACGTGGATCGGGGCCAGGATCTCACAACCAGGCTGTTGCCCGGGTTTCTCTAACTGGCAGGGACGCAGGACATCCCTGTTTGTGGTTCTCACTCTTGGAAAGTAAAAACATAGCCCAGAAGTCACTTCTGTGTCCCTGCCCCAGAGCATCCCATTTTTTTATTTTAAAAGAAATGTATTACCTGCCATCACTTTTATGCAAAGACCTTATTTCTCCAAATAGTGATATACTCTTGCCAATCAAGCAACTAGAACAATTCCATCCAGGACAGTGACATCATGGTAGAGCAGCCACTAAAATTAAACTCAAAAATCTGAGACTTAAGCAAACCCAAAGCTATAAACTGGTAAGGATATTTCTTAAAAGAAAAAAAAATGTAAAGTTTTACCTGTGGCTATAGCGAATGGCTATCGTCAACCCAAGCTGTAATTAAAAAGAGAGATAAAAACGAATTAAATAATATCAAGAATACGCTGAATTCATAGGAAAATTAATTTAATATGGTCAATTGTTTTTTAAACATTTCCTAAAATGTCCTACTGCTACCGTGTCATAAATAACACATTTTAATGTCAGATCTTTAGTTTCAACTTAGCTCTTAAAGGATAATCGTATTTTGAAACGGTCTTAAAGAGACATAAAATATTTCATTGTGGATTAGACAGAAGGTGTCCCTCAAAAGAAAAGAGTCCAAACAGGGCTCTTTTAGCTCTGAGACACAGCCGTGAAAAGATGGGATTGCAGCATGTGGCTGATTCCAAGGCTGGCATCAGGACAACACGGCCACACTGGGTCCTGGGAGCCAGTTCCCTCTCTACCCCCTAACCCAGGAGCACCAGGTGGACTGGCCACCTGCGCCAGAGTCTCCCTGCGGGGATCAGCACAGCCTTCATATGGATCCCATAACCCCAAGGCCAGCCAGCCTCAGCTCTGAGGACAGCAAAGAAATAGAGCCTGACATTCACGTGTGACCTCGAGAGGTCATGCACGTGATTGCTGTACACAGCAACAAGTAGAGATTGAGTTGAAACTGTGATTTCTGCCTTTCTCTGCAGGGTTGTTGGGAAAACCTCTCAGGCATAAGTGGGGGTCAAATCCCACGGTGTGGGATTCGGCTGCACACCGTATGATGGATGCAGCCAAATTCAGCTGCACCAACAAGGTATTGAAACGCTCAGGACCTCAATTTTCCCAACTGTAAAATGGGCAAAATAATTATTTTCTCACAGGATTAATGTAAGGATGAAGCAATTTTTCTATATTTGTATACTTGTATCTGTGCATGTGTATATTATGTGTGTGTTTACTGCCTGGCAGGAAAAACTCTATAAATAATACGGACCATGACTAGCCCTATAGATAGGCAATATCCCATTTAGGACGATGTGGGTACATTCCAACATTTAATTTCTAAATTAGTTTTGATAACTTTGAAAATATTTCATCATGTGACAAGCAATGGTTGGTGTCAAACACCCCTGTGTAAGTCTCATTCACCCACATGTGCCCGACTACATAGTGTGACTAGTTTAAGAGGCTCACAACAGTTAAGAAGCTAAGTGTCATCGATAATATCATCCTAGTGTGGAAAGTCTGACAAAGTTGCACCTTAAGGTCCCCAAACATCATTTGTGGTTCCCTTGATGTTGGCCCCAGTGGGGTTGGGGGTGGGGAGGTGACCTTCACAGTGCTGTCACAGGTGGTTGCAAGACGACATGAGGGTCCCCAGGCAGTGGGAGGGTGGAGGGAGTGGGTAAGGGCCAGAGGGAGGGAGAGCCATGAGAAGCAGAACAGCTGAAATAGGAAAGCCCAGCCCCGCTGTCCAGCTCAACACACTGCAGAGTCCCCCAGACCCCGTTCAAATAGCTCGACTCCAGCATAACGCAGCCATGTGCCACCACTACAGGCGTCCGGAGTCCAGAACCAACCATGGTGAACCATTGGGAATCAGAGGGAAGAAGGCCCAAGTTCACAAAAAGAATATCTAAACGTGAAGGCATGAAATAGATAAAATCAAGTTGATTTCATATCACATTTACCTGAATTTACTCAATTATCTATCTCAATTAAACTAGGGGTATATTGTCTTTTGAAACTTAAGCAAACAGAAGAGGAGGATGCCTCAGGGATAATCAAGAATTTAAAGAACAAGGAGGAAATTACTTGGAGAAAGAAATAAAAGCAGCAACTGTAGCCAGAAGGTCAGGATGAGCAATTTACAGATTTCACATGCAGGGTAACTTTACATTTCCTGGGATTAAAAAGTTCTGGTTTAGAGTTAGGCTAATTATGAGATAATTTTACTGACTGAATAGTTTGATAAGCTTTGGAGCACAGTTTAATTGGTGGCTTTTCCAGTCGAAAGATAAGCCCTTGCTGGAGGAAGGAGAGGAAATGGAGTGGGAGTGACAAGAACAACAACACACAAACAAACAAAAAAACCAAAAGCGTGGCTCCATGGCAGCTTGTGCTGGGTAAAGGAGGCCCAGAAGATGGATCTTTCACAAAGGTGAATTTCAATGGAGAGTTTTTATTAGTCTTTTCTTGGCTTCTGAATCAAATGCATTTTATTGTCATTCTTAAAAGGACACCCTTGTTAGGGAAGAAAGTATGAATCATGGAAATGCCAGGGGACAGGGCTGGCTCGCACGGAACCCTGCAGGGCTCTGCGTGAACAGGCCGTTGGAGGGAACAAGACGATCAGGACAGGTGCAAGACCCCGAACTATGTGAGAACCAACTTAAGGGGTGGACAGAACAGGGCATTTCAGTCATTGTGGAAACGGGGCCGAATGCGCTGCATCCAATTAGGCAGCCCTGCATAGGGGCTGGAACCATGTGGAAAAGTTGGTGCAGATCTCACCTTGAAACCCCAGGTTGGAACAGGCCAGTGAGGCAACATTGGCAAGTGAGCTGTGTAAGGAGCATCCTTATATAAGCTTGCTCTTCCTCAGGCCCACAGAGAAAACAGGGAAGGCGGAAAACATCTCTGGGGTTTCTGTACCATAACAAATACCAGATAAAGGCAACTGTGTGATCTGCTGAGACACAAGCCAGAGTAATTCACCACCTTGGCCTTAGGAACCCCCATCAGTTAGTCAGGCCTCTCTGAGACCCCTCACACTCTGCTAAGATGCATCAGCAACTCAGAAATGCTTTAAGCACACATGCAGGCACCCACTTATGCATACACTCATCCACACTGAGACAAGTGCATGCACATACACACATGCACTATGAGAGTGCATGTGTGTGTGTGCATGTGCTTATTTACATGTGCATGCACATGCATGCACAATACTCACATGTGCATGTACCACGTGTGCACACATGTACACATATGCACACTCATACAGATGTGCATACACACACCCATGTGCATGGATGCACTTTGGCACTCAGAGAGGCTCAGGGAGCCCCTTAAACAAAGGGAGGCCTCAGACAATTGACCCCTTTGTTGCTGGGCTCAGCAGGGTCCCAGGGGAAAGAGGGGAGGGAGGCCTGAGGGTTGGCCTCTGACCCCAGCCCAGCCAGGCTGAGGCCCAGGGACATAGAGGTCAGCAGGAGTTCCATGCTGCCCTCCCTGGGGAACACCCCCCCTCCCCAGGACATACTGTAAGTATTGCCAGAACACACTTAAACTCCATTCTGAGTACTTCTTTTTTAGATTTACACAATTTGTTAGTAACAAAATTAAATCACATTTTAATGGCAAGGAAAGAGTAATTCAACATTTTTCAAAATCTGCACCAGCTCCAAAAACCTTTTTCCTGCTGCTTTGGGCCTGAAAATGCTCCTTTTTTGGAACAGCTGAGTGAGGCAGCTGTTTTGTATCAAGTCTGAGGGGTTTCTATATGACCCGGGGAGCTCAGACAACAGGCAGACCTTCCTGCATTAGAGGGTAATCTGAGAATAATTTGCCATAAAACACCCAGAAGTGCGCCAGCTGTAGCCGGATACGCCCTATAAAGCACCACGCAGACTGCATGGATCTTGTAAAATAATAATAATAATTTTTAAAAACACATTTTAAAACACATTATAAATTGTTTTTAAAAAAAGAAAGGAATCGTTTACACTATCTCACAACTCAGCTGGTAAATTCCCTTACATGTCTACAGATTGCCACTACGTGCTTCTTCCCCAGTGCCCACTTGACCAACGGTCCCTGTGACGTTGGGAATCGGTTCTTTACCGTGTACCGTGCGCTGTGTTTCACGTTTAAGATGTGTTCTTTCACACACACAGCTGCCAGGGGCAAGTGAAGAGGAAGAGTCCGGTAAGTGGGGCCCCAAAGTCACTCAGCTCTGAGTCCAGAGCTTTCTAAACCAGAGGCAGCAGCACACTCCAGGGCCCCCAGCCCTTTCTGGAGGGGCCGACCCCGGGAGCCAGACCCTTTTACAACCAAACATCCACTGCCTCGACACTAGCACTCTCGATTCCACAAGGAAAGCTGGAAACCAGGGGTTTTATTATGAAACTCCCACATTTTAAACTAATTTGAATATTTTTCAAATACTATCCAAGCCAAACAAAACATGTCAGTGGGATTTGGCCAGGGGGCCACCCGCCTGCAACCTGCTTCGCACCCTGCCTGCTGCCAAGCTTCCACGCGGGTCCTCGCAGCGTCAGATCGGAATCCACGTGTCGGCGACAAATCAGAAAGCCCTGGGCGTTACTGTGAGTCTTCCCTCCCTTTGTGGCACTTACGTGCAGCTCTCTCTTTATATTGCGAGGGCCTAAAGAATTACAACATCACGAAATAAACCCAAAAAGGAATTTTATTATTTGTTTTCCTTCTGCATTTTTTTTTACTTGTTCCTTCCCCATTTTTATAGAAAACATGAAGGGAGTGGAGGAGGCATGGAACGGGCAGAACGCCGCTCAAACAGACCCCGGCACGGAGAGAATCTCACACGGACGTTGCCAGGGTGTGGACAGAATCTCACACAAACAGGGCCCTGACGTGCTGGCAGCTAGGCTGGGGGGGCAGGGAGACAGTGATCCACAGAACAGATTTCTTTAACCCTTTCCCCGTGCTCTTCTAGCACTGTTCTCTCCTGATAACCACTGGGACCCCATGCTATGCCCACACCCCCCCAGGACTGCTCTTCCCGGGGCATCACCCCAGGTCTTACTGACCCTCACTGCCTGACTCTCAAACCCCATCACGCCCTCCACGGCTCCAGCTGCGAGGTCTCTGCCCTGATGTCTGCTTGGGACCTTTTTAGCACTTGCTGCTTCCACTGATAATCTAACTGCACTGAGCTAAGAGACACTCGTGGCCAGTAGCCAGGAGCTTTGTGATCAAGTCCCCTGACCTCTGCAGCCGCTGTTTCCTCATCGTGAAGTGGGGATAATGCTACCTACTTCATGGGGTTGTTTTAGGCAGATTAACTTGGATCTCAAAGATGAGGGCCAGCA